ACCTTCTTTTACCTTAGTGTCCACAAAGGCAGGCAGTTATGTGTTAGGGAGTGGCAAGGGATTGATTTTAACCTGCTCAGTCCCATTCTACCTTATGTGGTGACAGGATGTATATTCCCAGTATGATTTGGCAGAACCCTTTCAGTTTCCAAAAACGTCTGAGCTGCAATGAGTGCAATTTACCTCATGTGGGGTCCCATCTGTGAAGAGGTGGGCGAAGGCCAGTCTTACAAATGGCATGCAGTGTGCACACAAGGAAAAGTAGGGACATGTTATCAGCAAACGGTCAGCAAGAGGCAACATCCAGATATCTTGTCCTGTAGAGGAACTTTAAGCAGGTGCGGTGGCTGCACCTGGGGGCTGTGCTGGGCTGGTGTGCCAAGCAGGCTGAGCTGAGCTGTTAGCCGCAGGCCCCTCTGACCTTGAGGGAAGTTGGATTGGAGTTACAGGACAGTGAGTCCCCTGGGAAGTAGGTTTTGAGCAAAGCTCCTCCTGTTAGCTGGTTACCAGGCAACCCGATGGGCTCCTGGAGTCCTCGTTTGTTCCTGCACACCTCTTTCAGTACAAAGTGGATTAAAACGCTTCACCGGCTCCTTCAAGTGCTACCTCAACATGGCACCTTACCTCCCTCATTCTCTACTTCAAATCCCAAATCCTAGCCACACCAAACTCTCCAAGTCAGAATCAACTCCAGCAACCAAATTTTCTTTTTTTTCTGGGTTTAAGTCTTTCACTGAGTGACTCCAAGCCTTGCCCCTCGGTGTGGTCCCACCTCACTTATTATCCCATATACTGAGGCTACCCGTGAGGCCCTCCCACTCAACCCTGAGCTTCTTGAAGGTCTGAATATTCTCTCTGCATCCCCACGAGGCTAGCGAAGTGAAATTCCAGTGGATTTTCAGTAAATAATTAATGACAACTAGGTAAAATCAGATGGGTGGTTCCTGCCCACTTTTCCTCTGTAGCTTTCTCCACATCAAACATGAGCATCTTACTAATGCATATAGGACTTCCCATGCCTTAACAATCACTGACCTCATGAAGAAACCAAGCGGAGAGAGGTAAAATGCCTGATCATTCTGGGTTATAGAGCTATCTTTTGCCCAGTTAGGTGTGGCATCTGCTAGGATTCCCTGGTTTTTTTCCCCCCCCACTATGCTATGATACCTGTGCTGTACTTGTGAGGAGACTTCAAGTAGCTCATGGAAAAATGAAATCAAGTTAATGGAGAATTTCCAACATTTTTCTGAAGCCCTTGCTCACATTCCTTATGCACTAATACTGTTTTTGGAAGCAGCATCTTACAGGTCCTGATCTCTCAGGAAATCTGACAAAGCTACTTGTGTTCTTACCAAAAGACCTTTGTATTTGAGTAACACCGTGCTGCATTCCCATCCCTCTTTACAAGCAGCCACCCAAGTTATATACGATACTGAATAATGAGACTAGATCCTACTTCCCATTGATAGTTCATCTTGCTTCTTTCTGATTTTCACCCTTCCCATGTAATCAAATGTGTGCTCCGATCTTTCAGCACACTATTCTGAAGGGTAGTCTTTAATCACTAAGCAAGTGCAATTTTCAAAAACTTTCAATGCCTCTCTGACGAACATAAAACTATCAAGAACCCATGGGTTTTCCCTGGTTTCTTTGTGGAATGTTCTCCTGAGAGAAAATAAAACATTTTTAAAGGCCCGCTAATGGTTACGAATCAGGTTGCTAATCTCACGGTCAGCAGTTCGAAACTACCAGCTGTTTCATGGGAGAAAGATGAGGCTTTCTGCTCTCGTAGAGATTTACAGCCTCAGAAACCCTGTACAGGGTCGCCATGAGTCAAACGACTCCATGGCACATAACAACAACAACAACAAACACACAGAAGGAAAAAGAACTGTAAACTGAAATACTGGTCCCTATGAAGTCTCCTGAGCAATCAAGACTAAGTCAGAACCACTGGCTCTCAGAGGCACCAAAGATTCAGGTGAGAAAGACGGTGCTACGTCTGGAAACGGAAACAAGCTCAAAAGGGATCCAAACCAGAACCTGGCTTCTAAAAAATACTACATTCCAAACCAGTAAGGAGTTCGAAGATCATTCTCAGGTCTGAGAAGAAATGCCTGAGTCAGGGAAGTCTCTAGTCCACTGCAGCTCCAGGCTGTTCCTAAGCAGCACTGTGAAGCCTTATTGTGCAATGAGGAAAGTCCAATGTCACTTGAGAAATCTACCCATCTCCAATAAATTGGGCCCAGCATTCTGAGGTGTCAAAACCTCTCAGCAACTCACAAGAAGCCAGAGCTAGGCAGAATGGGTGAAGATAGAGCCAGAGAAGTTCCAGAATACAAACCTGGATAAGCAGAGACCGTGCCAGACAGAAATCAATGTAACAGTCACTTCTCCGGCACAATCTACTTACAAACTTGTCCTGTGTTACTCAGATGCTGGCATCGAAAAGTTCTTTTTACCAGTACAAGCTCTCCTCCCCTAAATGACAGAAGTATGTGTCTAATATGATTTAATACAGCCTATGTAATTATGCATTGAAACCTCGTAACTGGGAAGATGGGGAATAAATTTCAAATGCCTTTGTTTTAGCCTTTGCAAAACTGACCCGCACCCTGCCCAGCATAATGTTAATTTTTGACTTATTTAAAGATTTCAAAGCAGGAGTAAACATCTGTGAGACTAATTTTTTGCTTTTACATAAGTGCAACTTTTTAATAAAAATTTACATCTAGATAAACAATCTTCAGATTTTTGAAACTTTAATAAGATTTTAAAAACATGACTTTGAACTGAAAAACATACACATTTAGCACACAAATATTGTAATATGAATCAACTCCAACGCCATTTGAAAACATGTGAATCAAATTACAGTTTTAGAAGTTAGTAATTCACATTTAAGCAAGTTAGCGCCTTGCTGAATCCAGCCTTTGTAAAAAATAGACTTAGTGCATATTATAATGGTACAATGTGTATTTGTACCACTTTGATGATTTTTTTTTCACTTTCTTAAACAATATTAAGTTCTTGAAAACTTGTTGAGAACAGCTAACTTTCTATGACATGGTGAAATTTCCAATGGTAACAGTTAAATTTTGTAACATAACACTTTCTATAGATTTTTTTCCTATCTTAAAATTTTAAAAGCAATCATTTGTAAGGATTGCATCAACATCAATTTAGCAGAGGAAGATCAAACTTTATTGAAACTGCTTGCATACAAAATATATTGCACTATAACCAAACAAATGTCAACATAAAATCCAATCTGTTGTAGCTAATATGTACAGAGAATATTGCCCAAGAGCAGTTACATTACAAGGTCATTCTACCTTGGTTAATTATCTACAGTATTTTAAACCAAACAGCTTACAGATGATGTGTGCAAGGTACCAATTTCTGTTTTCAAAATCTATACATTCCCAAAATAAATAACTAGAAATCAACATTAATGTTTGGCAATACTTTTAAAAGACTTTTTAATATTCATTAAATCATGTGCAGTTTGTTGCCATTTTTATATGCTTATTTGTATGCAAGGAAAAGTAACTGTAAAAGGAAAATCCAAAGAAACAAACTCACAAAAAACATCAGAGGCAGAACTTAAGTTTGTACGGCTCTGTACAGATTCAGTGGTACCCCTACTCGGAGTTATTTTTTAAGAAAAATATAACATCTTAGAGTGAAGGTCCTTCACATATTTTTCTTCAGTAAATTTCAGTAACAAAAATAAAAAACAAAACTAAAATCCAACACATCAAAAAAAAAAAAAAAGGCCCTCAGAATAAGAAATTCAAAAGAAAAGTATAATTTGCTAATCGAGCCTAGTCTGCTTCCCAATTATGCTTATACATTAGACCTTTTATTTTCAACTTTACAAAACACTTAACCTGCTTCCAATGTTTCTTAGACAAAGTACCTGTACTTCACAAGGTTATTATACACACATGGAAATGACCTTCCTATCTCCCCAAAGTAAGCTTGAAATCAAAATATGAAAAATTCACAAAACATGGGGAGGTTAAAATAAAAGAAGGTTCTACGTTAAAATTGGTCATCAGGCCAAAGAGCAGGCATATCCTCCTAACTTTTGACCTAGCTGAAAACAGTTTTGCCTCTCTCAAATGAAAAGAGAATTTATTCCTTCTCTTGTCTAAACATAAAAATGACACATCCCTTCAATAACACTATTTGTCAGACTTCATTCAGTGCAACAAAACAAAAACAAAAACAAGTCCTATTCTTTATACTGCCTACCCTGATGTTTATGTAAGGAAAAAAAATATGGAAAGCATGCATTCTTCTATAAAGTACTAATGTCTGACAGGGTTTGCTACATCTTTTAACATTTAGTGTTTCCAACTTATCTTCCCTGAACTCTGCATCCAAATATAATGTTCCTACCTGCCAAGATATAAAAAAGGCACAAGATCATACAACTTTTTTGCTAATGAAAATGACAAATGTCACATCACACACATTTCAAGATCCACTAAAATACTGGAAAAGTGGACCAGAACATAAACTGACACAGGACATGAAATGATGTAGCATTTCATGGCAATTTCTATGAAAGATTGAAAACAGACATCCAACATGATTACCATAAATGCTATTTATTCAGAACTGAAATGTATTAGTGAGTTACCACTCACGGTAGGAAAATGATTCAAATAAACAAGGAATATCACTGCTCAGAATTAAAAAAAAAAAAAAAAAAAAATCAAACCAACTAAAATAAAATCCTGTCCTGAAGTGCTAAGTATACTTCAAAGCAATATTTCAAAATTCAAGATTTTTGGTGCAAATCTGAAAATTGGTGCTTATGGCCAATAAGAAAAAAAAAAATCAAATTAAAAAGTCTTAACAGAATCTGTATTCATTTCATGCCCTGCGCCATCTTGCCTACTATTTTGTCTTTGGCCTAACAAAGTTTTCTAACATGGAATAAGAATTACGGAAATGGTATAGGAAATATAACTTCAGAATTATGCAGTTTAGGGTACTCCGTTGACGAGTGGTTGCTGGCCATCCACGCTGTCTGGCTTTTCCTTCTTCTGATTACGATCTTTCCCCGTGCGCAGCCGGTTCCCTTCACTGGAGGTATTCTGTAATGTTTTAGTGTGGACACTCCTTTCATTATGGCAGTCAACTCTGATCTAAAACAAGTTATATATGTTATAGAGAGAGACAGTATCCTACTGTAATCTGTGATTGGCCTGACAAAAACCTTAAGCCTGAAGTGAAATTCCTAAGGTTAAAAGGGAAAATGGAGGTAGGAAGAGAAGAAGTGCAAAAAATTAAGGCAGGATTTTTATGAGGCTTATGATTTTAAAACGACTTCTTCACTGGAACACATTGCTCATCTCACTGCATCCAAAGTTACATTAAAAACTTACAATCCTATCATGTCTTATTCTAAGCAGAATAAAACAATAATAAACAAAGTTAAAATGAATTTTGGGTACTGATTACCAGAAGTTACACCCATGCCTATAAATTAAGAGCTAAAAAAAATAATAATACTAATACTCTCCAAAGATTGTGAATCCCAGAGGCAAGAGAACAAAATACTCTTTCTATTCTGATTTTGTCAGGATCAGAACTCTACTTACTAACTAGCTATTAGTTTGCTACACCTTTTCAGTCTATTATAGGTTTGGTAGACTTTCTCCATACCAAGGCCTCTCACTGTTCCACAGCAGAAAACTAAGAGTAGGCTCATGGTAGCTGGTGTTTCAGATGACCAAACAAAGTCAACTTTGCTTTAAGAAAAAGAATGGCATAAGGGAAACCTGAAAAAGAAAATAATTTGTGTAGGGACTGGAATCCTAGGAGACTGGAAAGACGCAATTTAAATAATATTCTATGCTGTACAAATTAGTTTATGTGCAAACACAAAACACTTAAAAACTGCTAAGAGAATTCTACATGCTGCACAAAACATAACATTGACCAATGGGGCCAAAGCAACTATAGTCTATTCTCCAGTATAAATGCAAAGTATACCCCCAAATGTTCCACTATAATTTCAAAGTATATTTAATTGTTGGGTCAGAGGTATGTGTTTTAAATGTTAGGTGTCAAAGGTTCAGTGTTTTTCGACCTGTATCTAGTCTCATACTTATACAGAAAGCACTAACTTTTCATTTTGTATTACTTTAGTTATACATATAATTGTGAAGTCGTATCCTTTTAAACATTGTGATCAGATTATCCAGTTTACCAAACATATCATTGAAAATGAGGAATTACAAAACAGAGACATAAATATCTTAGTTTTGTAAAGCATATATACATATATTAATTCCGCCTATCTTTTTTATCTAGGTCCAAGGTCTTTTCTATACTGGTCCTTAAGTACCTGTCAATAGTTAACACCTACTCAGAATTGCTATGAATTCTAATGAATACCCCAGTATAAGAAGTTTCTGCTCTAAAAAAAGCATTTCTGGCTCATCTTGGGTGTTGTTCCCAAGCTAATCCAGTCAGGTGGTGGTTGTTGTTAAGTGTTATCAAGTCAGTTCCGACCCACAGCGACCCTGTATAGGGTTTCCTAGGAGTGACTGGTGAGCTTGAACCGCTGACCTTGTGGTTCCAACTGATTTTGCAGTCCAGAGCATTAACCTCCTGCGCCACACCAGGACACACAGTCAAGTAGGGAACCCTACATACTTGGATTATGAATTCAGGGTGAAAGAAGAAATTCTAAGAGAGCTCTGGGTTCTGGCAATCAAACATCACTCCATCACGTGCCAGCCATGTGACCCTGAGCAAACGATGGAGCCTGTCTGAGCGTTAGCTATTCACCTAGTACACAGAACAAACTTCTTACCTCTGGGGGCTGCAGTAAGATGGAATGAGACCAAACACACAAAGCACTTCGCAAAGGTGCCTGGAAGGGCTTAAGGATAGCTTCAAAATGATTGGAACAGTGGGGTCAGTGCAGGTGATGGCCTATTGAGACTGGAGCCTCAGAACAGAGCCGGCCATCAACACCTGTATCAGGTGATTCTCATCAGCCCTGTCTAAAAGGGCCTATGCCTTCTTTCTCAGAATTTTACTCAGAGGAGGGCAACAAGGGCCCCCACAGGGCTTACTCAGCTCTCTATACAGATACACCAAATGTGTAATCTTTCAATAAGTTTAAAAATAAAGTCATAAATCTGAAACAACTGTATTCAAATTATTTAGATGAGAAGAGGCCTATACAAGTTTACCTGAAGGGTTCCATCTGCTGTTCTTCCTTTAGCCTCTCTCGGGTTGCGTGGACGATTATCTGTTCGGGAGTGATCGTCGTTTCCTATGGCAACAGTTTAAAAATGTTCAACAGTGACCGATTCTGAAATGCACATCTTCTATTTATGTAGGCCAAATAATTGAAAATGTGATCAATAACCTAGTGATTCCAGTCACCTCTTATTTAATAATCTAGCAAGCTACCACAAAACTTCAGACAGTTACCATCTTCCTTCATTTCTTAACCAGTGAGAAAACCTTGTACCTTTGAAGCCTCCTCCACGCCCCCTTCCTCCCTGTCCTCTTCCTCCGCCTCCACGCCGACGTCCGTCTCCTCTGCGAAGAAAGTTCTCCCTCTCTTCCTCTGTTGGAGCTAATGACCAATCACTGAGTTCGTCTCTGTGGTCAGATTCTGTTTCAGAAGCATTTGATGCTTCAGAATTAGTTCCTATCGAGAGTTAAAAGTTATATACCATTGTCTGACTTAGAAAAAAAAAAAAAAAGGTAGGTTAACAGAAGCTTCCAGAGACGTTTCAGGGGTAATGCGATACTTTTCCCAACATATAAACCCACCACCGAGTATTACACAACCTTCCATTTTGTAAACCAAACAATTCTAAATTTCATTTCTGATATTTGTGATCATTTTGGTTATAAACATTTTTGGTTCTCATTTAACAAATTAAAGGTATCTTATTAGGTACCTAAGTTCAAATCTGAGTGTGTCAGTCACATCATTAAACAGCTGTGTTCTGTTAAACATCTGTGCCCTCCTGATAAATCAAACCTTAATACAGGGAGCTCCTTCTAACAGGCTTGGCCCAGGGACAAAGGGGAACACACTTCTTGATCAAGTATAAGAGAGGAGCAAATAAGGCCACCATGGCAACTGTCCCAGGGAAGGGTCTCTTGTAGGACCATGGACTGGACCAAGTTGAAGGGGGATATATCTGCCTGAGGCTTGGTCCACAAGCTTCCCTTCCACTCCCAGAAAAATGGTTGATCATGAATACAGGCATTGCTACAAATCAGCTCATTATGCCTGAGAAGGTGGATGCCTTAGGAGGTGGGGATGGGGAAAGAGCTCCATGGTGAGGCAGGACTCCATCAGCACAAAGAGCTGCCTATTGGGAGAGGAACTGTGAGGGGCTAGGATCAAGCATGGCCTAAGAGTAGGTGTCTTTTCCCGCCGACCCAAGAATTATCAATTCAACTACCTCTCTCTTCCTCTGTTGGAGCTACTGACGAATTACGGCTTCATTATTATAGTTTCATTCCTGTGGATTTTGAAGGCTTTTTTTCCCCCATCTTAAAGAGTCTCATTTTGAGATGCAAATATTTATGAGATGGATTATGCTTTAAACCATCCTTTGCAAATTACACAGTTGTTACATAGTCAAGTACCAAAGAAGAGGGGCTGGGAAGGCAGAGAGACTTTAACTATGTCCTGACTGTGCTGAGGATTGAATTGAGTCCTGCTGCTCAGAATCACACACAGTTCATATCCTGCAAGTATGACTAGCACATGAGCCACAGTACACAAATGAAAAAGGGTGCTCTGTCCAGCAGTCAGGCCATCCACACACAAGGGCATCTGCAGACTTATCCCCCTCAAGGTGTGGACAGAATTCACACCTGCCTTGAGAACTACACGTGTCATGATCAAACTTTGATTATGGATGAATTGGAAACCACATGGTGAGACTGTCATAATGAGATTCTAATAAATAATAGAGATTAGCAGCTAATAATTCTAGAAACAGATAAAGTAACTGAGTAAAATGCTTAGTTTGTACCTGAAGTATATCCAGGACCGCGTCTGCCGTGCCCCCTATTTCTGTAAGGTCTACTACCTCGACCCATTCCTTGACCATCATCAGTCACATAGCCTTTTTCCTTATCTGTACGATTTGGTGGTGGTCTAGAACTAGCTCCAATCTGTCGCAACTGCTCATCAATTTGTAATCTCTCCAAACGCAACTGGTCTACTTCCTATTTAAAATATACAAGATAACAGTAAAAATAATTTGACATTTTACTTAATATTACCTTTCTCCTTTTCATCAGATAAAAAGTATACTGGAAATGCTTCAATCTCAGTTCTAAATTGACAGTAAACACTGTTACACAGATTTGTCAGGAATTGGAATGGTCTCCTTAAAAAGAAAATGATTACATAATAGATAACATATTTACTGTTGTCCCAAATTAGAGAGAGAACAAAAATATTTAGCATCAAATTGATACTGAATAAAATGTATCAAGTTGTTTGATTTTGCATTCTTCTCCACCTACTCTATTGTTAAGGCACACATAGACTGTTCTGGGGGCTTCTTGATGGGAAGATATTAAATGAAACAACTAGAAAATGTTAAGAATACAGATCAATGACTTTTAAGGTTTAACCAGAAAAACCTTAAAAAAAATCACACATTGCAAATAATCTTAATTGAAATATTTTTGCTAGGTTATCCCTTCCTTTACAAAAAAACATTGAGATGAGGCTGTCATTTGTTTTAAAAGAACATACAGGCAGTTCGTGGATTATGAACCAGTTCTACTCTTCAAGTCTGTTCTCCAGTCAGATTTGTTATGTTAAGTCCTACAAGTCTGTATTTAATGCCAATTAGTCAAATGTCTGGAGTCCTGGTATAGTGCTGTAGTCTAATGCGTCAGACTGTAAAGTCGTTTGAACTGCAAGGTTGGTGGTTCAAGCTCACCAACTGCTCCTTGGAAACCCTATACAGGGTCACTATGGGTCGGAATCGACTCGAAGGCACTTAACAACAAGTCAAATGTCTGTCTTAATAATATACAGTGAACCTTTCAATGCATGAAAACATTAAAAACACTTTCAGACACACGAAAATATCTTTAACTTTACAATACAATACCGTAATCCTAATGTTTTGATGCGCATCACATAATAGTGCCCATTTGTTATTACAAACCATTCATTACTTGTTCCTCAGATTTTTAATATAATAGGCTGTTTGGGGGGGCGCTTGTTCCATATAACTATGGGTTATACCTAAGTTCCATTCATTACCGGTGGACTGTTTGTATACTACGGTAGAGTATGTCTTAGGTCTTTGGATGTGTTTAGACAATTAGGAGCAATTATTTCCAATTAGCTGGAAATGCTGACATTCCTTATACGGAGGGAAGAGGGGGGCCATTTAACAGGTGCCCAAAAGAGTTAAGTCTTACAGCATGTCTTGAAGTCTTTAAGACTATTACTGCTCGAAAAATTTATAAGCAGTATAAACTTAGTTGATCCAAACATACAGCTGGGGCCCATGAATATAGACCCTTAGACAAAATGGTTGCAATATGTTCATTTCTTTCAAATCCAAATAGAACCTCAGTTCTAATCTCTGTCTTTCCAATCTGCTCTAATCCCTCACTTACTGGCTGCAGGCACAACCTGTAACATCATTATACTGGGTGTCTCAGTTAACCAGGAGCTGCTATAGGGACTATCTTTGTGAACAGGAATTGGGGAAGCTCTGGTAAAGCTAAGTTATCAAAGTCTGGGTTGTGGTGGCGGCTTCTGGAAAAGAAAGGTCAAGTAAGGATTCTACGGGAACGTCATCTGAGTTTAGATCCATAATTTCTGTTTTACATGCAACTGAGTGGCTTCCTCCATGGGGATAGTTAAACCTCATGGAATATCTTGAAAAACAAAATGGTTGTTCAGGTTATTCCCACTGGGCAATGCAGTCACCTTTTGGTGAGAGATGCCAGGCCCAATCAAGGGAAGATACGGTGAGAGAAAGAATGACAGTAACACAGTTGCTAAACACAAAAAATGATCATCTATTATGAAGAACAAATGCAAAGATCCAGAAAAAGAAAAATAGAACATCAATCACATTAACAATGATTTTGATGCAATAGACCCCTAACATTCAGGATCTCCATAATTATTTAAGATAAACATATGGTTACAACAATCAAACACACAAATATCTTTCATATAAAACATGCTTTAAAGCAAAAAGAAAAAGCAAGTCAAAAACAAATGTGCAGATTTTACTGAATGAAATGTTCCCAGTTTTAATTCCTCACAACCATAAAGATGAATAGAACTCCCAGCTACTTCTCTTTTGCTTCCTTTCACTCTTAGGGGCATACAAGTCATTCACTTTGTATTTCTTTCTTATGAAAAATCAGCAAAAGAAAAATGCCCAAGTTAGCACCAGAAATAGTGCAATTGTTGTTGTTGTTGTTAAGTGTTGTCAAGTAGGCTCCGCTCTATAGGGTTTCTAAGGAGTGGCTAGTTGAGCTTGAACCACCAATCTTGCAGTTCAAATGACTTTGCAGTCTGGTGCATTAACCCACAGTGCCACACACAGAAACGTGGAATAAGCCATAGACTGCTAACCGCTGACTCCATGGCACTTAACAACACACTATAGTTTTGATACACAGGGATACAAAAGAGAAATTATAGAAGTGAAACAGAACAAATTTCACTTCACTGAATGACAGAATATTCTGGCTGAAAGGAATTTTCTAATACATCTAGCCTAGGTGGAAAAGAGACTGGCGGCAAATCTAGGCACTGCCCAACCAATATTCTTTCTACCTACTACACCTTGTCACCTTCTGCCTTCTCATTTGCAATCAAGAGGAGATGTAAGTATATACACACTAAAATGAGCATTTTCAGTAAGACATGATTAGTTTATACTTTGTATAACAGAATACTGAGAAAGATATTAAGGGCAAACATTTGAAAAATGGAGACTTCGTGAAACACTGACATTTCTTGATAAGACGTCATGAAAGGGAGAAGAAAGGCAAGTAAGTGCTAAACAGAAGTTTTGGGGAAAAAAAACATTCACAAAAGCTAGAAAGACTCAAAGTGGATTAAAAGGCTACTCACAGGATTAACTACATTGAGTGTGAGGATTTAACAGGAGACTAATGGGAAATAAGGGAATTTATCGAGAACTAGGATGTTGGGCCTTCAGTTGTCTTGATGAAAACCTGACATACTTTCAAAAGGAATATAAACTGAACAGAGTATTGTCTCTGATACCTTTTACAATTCATTTAAAAAATATGTGTATGTATGTATCTGCTAGAATGAATCCTAGCTGCTGAAAGATATATTTACTATAGTCTTTATATTAAAGTGCAAAAGGAATACAATTTCTCATTATTTCTCTTCTCACCTTTAAATAGTTCAGGTGATAATCCAAAAGAACAGTGGCATTAGCAATGCTGTCCTTTGTTCCCACAAAAACAAATGGTACCATACCCTGAAAAAGAAATGGTGACAATGATCTCATAGGATTAAGGACAGGTTAGTCTGAATACTGCAAATAATGACTAAATCCCTAGCACAGGGTATGACAAACAGCAGGCGCACAAATATTTGCAGAAAAAAAAAGTCAACACATGAAAACAAAAAACAATCCTACATGAGTAATTTACACAACTGTGCAAAAGGACAAGCCAATATAGCAACCTCTTAAATGCATCCAGTTCTTATGTTTAAAGACTATTAAACGTTGGCAAAAATAAACAAGTATTTCATTCAAATCACGCAACACGATGAAACGCATAAAGATAACAAATACTTAAAAAATGGTCTACTAATCCATTTACTATAGATTTTATGTAGATCAAATTCTATTTTTTAAAAATAAAATTAACATTAGATATGAGGGATAGTAAAAAGACGAAATTAACTTTGCTAACCAAGTCAATAGGGTACAAACAAAGCACAAAGAGAAATAAAAATGCACTGAAAAATTAATCTGTAAGAAAATAACCTAGGCACCTCCTGGAGCATATCATTTTGCCAGTCCCAATGTATTCCAATAACTCTCTGAAATGTTTAAACGGCTAAATCAGAAGAGAAATTTCATTTGCTTCTAACTGTATATGTATGTATACACACACACACAAACACAGACACACATACACACACACATTTATATTAAAGTCTATTAAAAATATTTATTTCTAGTCCTTCAGTATAAATCAGAAAAAAAGCAACTATTGGTCACACGTTACAGGAAAGTCTAACCACAGCTGAGTAAAACAATAGTTGGCAATTATGGCGGGTTCAGAATTGAGAAGAGTTCAACATTTTGCTACTAAAGAAATGTACATGGTTACTGATATTCACAAGTGAGTAGAGGAACACATGTGGTAGTTTTGATGTCGACACAAAATTTTCAGGGAGAAGTTATAACATGCAAGAAGCCAGAAGCTCTCCCTCTTTAATACAGAGCCTTCACTTGACAGATGTGGCTGCTGCTGGGCTGCGTCTGCCTGCTTGAATTCGGCACTAAATAAAAGGTACATGGGGTTGGATCAGGTGTTTCTTTTTGTTCCCTTCACATTAACATGGCTGTTGATGGAGAAGAAAACTGAAGAATCAGGAAACACTGGTTTCAAACTGACCTTTACTACCTCCTAGTAGCAACCACCACCCAGAGAATCAGGTGCTACAGAAAACCCATGGGCTTCTTTCAGACATAGTTACAGATTTGCATCAGATATACATGAACTATAGAATTAACCACGCCAATGGACCAGATCTCTTTTCTCAAAAGCATCTATTTTGGCTGTTGAGTTTTCTCCCAATATGACTTTGCTACAAAGCAGTTAAGCATAGTATTTTTCCAACTGCCATATGGTGAAATGCTACACTGCTTCCCAGCATTTAAACCCTACTTCAGATTTGGTTAGATCGACTTTGGAAAAATTTCAAAAAACACTTTTTCTTGCACCATGTCCAAAGTTGGTATACCCAAGTGCCACTCTGACTTATGCACATTGCTCATAGACCTGAATATTAAAATCAAGAAAAGTGAGCGCAAAATGAAATAGAATGGTGGCTGGCCTTCCATATGGACTCCAGGAAACAGCTATTCCCCTCTTCCGGGATAAGAACAGGGTTGCCTAACATAGAGGGATATCTGATCAACCTTCTCTTGGTAAAATGGCATTTTTGTTTCATCTCTTATAAACCATGACATTTTTTTCCCCATAAAAAGATATTACAGGCCAGGTAATTTATTAAAAACCAGGGCCCTGCCCTCCAGGAACTAAGGTGGTAGGGGAGATCCACAAGTAAAAATAAATGCAGTTAAGTGCTTGGGTAGGAGTGAGCCCATGGAATGCATATAAGAAGACACGGCACCTGTGGCAAGGACACGAGGAAACCATCACAGAGACTAAGGTCAAAGCGGAGGAGGCACGCAGAAGGTTGCTACCCAAAGAAGAGAAAGCAACAGACAATATAATAATGTTCAGAGAACTTGAAATACTTTAGCATGGCTCAAGCTTCTATGAGGAGGAAGAACAGGGAGAGAGGAGAGGAGAGCAGAGCAGAACCCATGAAGGGCCTTCTCAGCGACATTAAGGGGAGAGAAGCAGGGCAACTGACACACATACCCACAAACACTCTTCCACCATCCCCCAACCCTGATGACCCTTTGTATTCTTTCTTAACAAGGGGAATAAACATGAAAATAGAAAATTAAAATGTATTTTTCAAGGAATGTTTTCCTACCTGCCAAGCCTTGAGTTCAGGTTTCTGGGATTCCCCTGCTACAATTGATGAAACCACTAACACCTAAAGCAGTATAAGGAATGCAAGTGATGTCATTAACTATAACAAATGATACACAGAAGCCTGAACGCAGGACTTTCACTGTAGGACTTCTAAAGCCATTGTCTAAATATTTAGGCTCGATCTAGTATTGAAACTCAGTTTCTAATATACGGTTTTAAGTATCAACTAATGCCATCTAACAGAAAGAAGGTATATTTTGAACGACTATTCTGCAAAACTTCAAGAGATATAGCCTGAAAACATCAAAGTCCACCCTCAAAAGAAAAATGTTACTATTAATTGCAACCCCATTTATGTTTACGGCATACAATTGGTCACTGTAAGTCAATGGAAGGTATGGATCATTATGGTTTGCAATATCTCATAAGCTGGCGATCAGATTTGAAAAAAGGTAGAATAATGAGTAGTTTACAAGTCTAACCAGTGAAAACACCCGAAACACCAATTGTGACATTTGAGTCGAAGAAATTAGTTTTAGTGCGATGCAAAGGGACAAATATTTCTTACCCTCTGAACTTTTGTACTGTTAGGCTGAGAAAAATGGGCGCTGTTTTCCTTGATCTCTAAATGTTTCTTTTCTTCTGAGGGGTTAGGTCCAACCCTTGAATTGTTGGAAGGTAGGGAATTTGGTGGGATAATTTCCTTGGTTAAAACAAACAAACAAAACAAAAAACACACAAGAGAAAAGAAGACCAATTTTTAAGAAGTTATTTTTCATCATCGGGTCAATGATCGTACTTTCACTTAAAGTAAATTATCTTAAACAGCTTTGGCACCTAAAAATACAGAATGCAAAATCATTACTAAATTTAAAGGAGAAAAACCCCAGAAGAGTTCACTTCCATTAAAAAAGCTTTTCACAAAAGAAAAGTGGCTAGGCAATGTATGAAAGTGACGGCCCTCTGGAGCATACTATTACAAAGAATAGTTTTGCACAGAAAAGCACATACTCAATTCCCCAACCCTATTCAAATAGTTCAAAAGTTGCTACTGCAAAACATATATAAGCATGAAGGTAAAACCGAGGGTTATCAAATGTAAAGATGAGAAGCAGAAGAAAGATGTGTGCCAGTTTAAATAGAGCACATAGAAATAGACACACACACATACCAAATCCCTAAGCTATAAAGCCAAAGAACGAAAACCAGAAAATCTAATCAGCATAGGAGTTTGATCTTTGTCAGCAACAGGAATATCTGAAATGTGCTTTGCAAAGAAAGCACTTTAAATTTATGATTTCATTACATGTGCATGGCCCAATCATGGAGGTTTCATATTAAAAATATTCACGACTACTCATATTGATGGTCAAGAAACAAGACTTAAAAGGGCAAAGGGGACCAAGCCAAAATCTCAGCATCAGAGAATGGTACACCTGTATCCTTCATTTACTCAGGTAGAATTCTGTTAACACCTGCACATTACAGAGGCCTCTACAACAAATTTGTCAACTAAAACAATCAAAACAACTTTGACATTTTTTCAGACAAATCAGAAACACATGCATTATAACATACATACCTCTTCTTGTGGAACATTTTTCTCATTTTCAGCCTCAATTCTCACTCTTACAACTCCTGATTTGTCCACAATCTCCTGAATCAGCTTTCCATTTTTTCCTATTACTTTGCCTAAGTTAAAAAATGAATAATTCATGTTTGGTTTTAAAAATGCATAACTGAAACCAATAAGCATACTCCACTGTAAACTATCACATTCATATACAAGTGTGTAGTTCATATATTATATTGAACTACATATAAGATTTAAAAACTAAATTTGAGTCTTTTCACAAAGACAGATAAGCTAGTTTTCTCGGTTACCATTGTTTTTAAACTTTTACCTATAACTTTCTTTTTTTGATTGTGAACTGAGTGATAGTTTACATGGGAGAACATTAGCTTTATATCATCATTTCATTGCAATGATTACAATCCCCTCCGTGCATCATCATTTAACAGTATTTGCTTCCATTCCCTCTGTTTTTCTTTTTGGGGGTGGGGTGGGGAGGGGAGATGTACACAAAAACACTCAGGAATATACAATAATTTAAACAACCAAAGTGCACATTCTGCAAGCCTGCCTCCTGGTGGCCAGCACTCAGTGCCTCTCTTTCCGTGAGTCTAGAGTTCTCAGTGGCTCCCTCTCTCCATGTCCTCATCTCTGGTGTCGCTGCTTCTCTGGATAAGGTCTCGCATTCCGCTTGTGCTCTTCCACTTTGATGGTCTTAGGGTCCTCTTTTTCTGAACTGTAAGATTAACTACTCCCCAGGTTGTTTGTTTTTTTAACAAAGCTTCTTTCTACCTTTACAGTTGTGACAGTTGCAATTAATCATGATAACAATTATTCACTATTGAATCATAAGAATCTTATCCCCATCTCTTTTCACCAGACTCATCTAGGCAAGATGAAAACTATTCAGTGGGGACTCTATTTTCCCCTGCACACTCTTAAACTAAACTTCCTTTTGAAAACTTGTAAGCCAGTCACTTCGTGCCTTTATCACCCCCTCATTTTAGGTAGCCAATGTCTAAGTTACCCATCTCTATCTACCCTGTGTACAGAGGGATAGGATTGATACTTGATGTGAAGACTCCTTCCCTCTCTGTAGGTATTTTGAGCTACTACATCCGTGAATACAGGTCAAGTTCATTAAATTATAGCAATTTACCCTTGCTTCCTTCATCAAAACAAAACAAAAAAATGTATCTTCCTCTAGTCGAGTTCTGATTAGCAAGCCATTGAGGCTAGGTCAAATGGGTACTATCTATAAGTCTGGGCATTCTTGTGAGTCTCCCCTCACTTTGCATCAGCTGGATGCTTTACTCTCAGCTCTAGTCCTCTGTGGCTATGTCCTTGTCCATGGGCTCAGGTGTCACCAGGTCTCACCACACTTTGGACCAACCAGCCCTTTCCTCTTCTCTCTCTCATCTTCAGGTCAACGGGAGTCTATGGAATGTGGTTGAACTCAGCCCATTTCTTCATTGCTTTTATGGCAGTAAACTGCTACAACTTGTAGAGCAGCTTGTAGATTTGAACGGCCAACCTTTTGGTTAGCAGTCGAGCAGCTAACCATCTAAAATGAGCAGTGCAAACTCATGAAGCCAATATGCTAAAAGATTATGATTCCTGTGCATTATTCACAAATTATAGTTTATTACAAAGGGAAAGAATTAGAGTACAAGTGAAAAATTAAGAGGGTATATACTTTATGTCAAAACCACACCAAAAGAGTTTATGACCAGTTTTAGATTATGTATAACAAGCTGCCAAGATTTTGTTACTGTTGTTATGTGCTGTGGAGTCGATTCCAACTCATAGCGACCCTGCATAGTGTTTCCGAGGCTGTAAATCTTTACGGGAGTAGAAAGCCTCATCATTCTTCTGTGGAACCGCTGATAGTTTTGAACTGCTGTCCCTGAGGTTAGCAGCCCAATTCATAACCACTACACTACCAGAGTTCCTTTCCAAGACTTTAGGTACCAGTAATAAACAGGCATACGATTCTTGCTCTCTTTTGAACATTAATTTTGATCCCATACTTAGTAGATAATGACTGCTTTCATATCTACTATGAACATCAGTATAGAACATGACATTACAAGCATAAGATCTGAATCTAGAAATGTACAGCCTTGGCTCTTCCAGGGTATCTGGACACAACCTTCACCCACCTTCTCAACTAAGGTGGTGTTGTGGAACCACCAAGTCAAGGGGCAAAGTTCAAAGCCAAAATGAGCTTGCGCTTTGTCACACAGGAACATCTTGTTCTTCTAAGCAAAGTAGAGCGTCAGAGCTCCTGCTGTGTTTACCAGCCTCGCTCACCCCAACATACCTATCTTAATTGGTCATAGGCCAGGAAAAAGAACTAACACCACTAATTGAGATCTACTGCTCTAGGTTCCTTGGGCAATTATTTGTTACTCCCTACTCTTGCAAGAAAACAGGGGTGAGGTGGAGGGGTATTACTGAAGCCTTGCCACAGTTTGTTTTCATCTCTAACACTTACGGAGTTCACAAAAAGAGAGATACTGGCACGTTTCTATTAAGACAATACCTTAACAGTTCTAAGTACTCTGTTCTAATGGCAGCTGACTGAATAATCATTGTCAAGAGTGGGTGAAGAACAAGCACATTTGAAGAAAAGGAAGACAATGAGTGCACATAGTGAAGAGTTGGTGAGAAATTAAGAAATCATAAACCAATGAGGCTCAAGGCAAACTCATGCAATACTGATTCTGGTATCTCCTCCACCAAAAATGCTTTCTGCAAGCTCCCAACATTCCCATTGCTGCAGTAGACAATCTTTATGAAACATTGTTTTGTTTCACTAACAAAACTCAGGCTGGCTGTATGCACTTCAACAGGCTTCCTGGTGAAAGGTCCCTTCTGGGAGCCTCTTCTTTCCATGCAGGACTCCAGGTAGAATTTATGATTAATACCAGAGAATTGCATTCTACATTACAGTTATTTACAAAGCCCAACTGACAGCTTTCTCCTATTCAGTTCTACTGAATGGATGGAGCTGTTTTTAAATAAGTTGAAGGGCAGAGAAGAAACATGTATAGGATTCCTTAGTATGTCTGGAACTCAGAACTGCCATAGATAGGTTCTTTGTATGCATTTTCCCATTTAAGTATCACAGCTTTGCAAGGTAGATAACATTCTCACATTTTACATGTGAGGAAAGATGGTGGTGGGAGTCCTAAAACACTTGCACAGGTTTACAGAGCTACTAAAAAGTGAAGCCAGCATTGAAATCTAGATCTAAGGGTAATGTCTGAACTCTTTCCCCTACCATCAAGCTGTCTCCAAAGGAACTTAATGAAGTGGATACAGAAACGACTATCTATTTAGTAACTAAAAAAAAACAAAATAAAAAACACAATTCCTATTGGCTAGATTTTTATACTCACTGCTGTAATTCACAAGAATTTTTCTAAGGCATTTATTTGAGAAACTTTTAAATAAGAAAACAAAGCATTCCTAGTGCTACTGACCTGATTTTATCCTTTGCTATATATGTATATTCTACTCATACACGTGGTGTGTGACTTACTTCAGTATCATTACATGCTCATATCCTAGTTGTGTAGTCTATCCAAGGGGGCTTTAAAAAAGTTTGTGGGGAAAATGAAGTTAAAAGAGTAGAATTTTTCTACAGACTTTTGGACACCCCCTCATACAGTTAAGCTAATTACTATTTCACTAGCATTTTTACTTTTATCCTCAGTGAAATGGTAATTTTCTTAGGGATAAACATAATATCCCTTGTGTTTGAAATGACACAGGAAGAAGTTTATAATTAATTCTGTGCTGACCAAAAACAAATACACAAAAAAACATGTAGTGCGCAGTGGTTACGAATCGGGCTGCAAACCGCAAGGTCAGCAGTTCGAAACTACCAGCTGTTCCGTGGCAGAAAGATGAGGCTTTCTGCTCCTCGGAAACCCTGTACAGGGTCGCTATGAGTCGGAACCGACACTACGGCACATAACCACCACCAAGCAGGATTAAAACTAAATATTCTTTGTTTTCTTCTTTTTAATATTTTCCCTTAGGGCAGCATTACTTTATATAGCCAATCATTATCTAGTTTAAAAGGCAAAAATGTACATTTGGCAAGCCCAAATTATATTGATAAATTACAAACATAAATAGTAATAAAACTGCACCTGGTCTGAAATGTCTCACCAAAGCTCTCTGCAGGAGCGTTTAGAAACGTTGGTAAAGAATGCTCAGGTATTTGCAGGTATTCATGTTTGTGATGACTATGAAAAAGAGTAATCAAGACAAAGAATTCCTGGTGTGACACTGTAGGGACAGTACTGAACTGCTAACCACTAAGTTGGTAGTTCAAGCTCACCAGCCACTTCGTGAAAATCCTATAGGTGGTCACTATGAGTCAGAACTGACTCATAACTCAAAACAATAAAGAATTACTGTATTCTTTGCAGAACCCCCCTGAGACATTCAGAGTTACTCCTAACTTTTCTTAGACTTAAGTAACACACTCAAGGGCCCTCGGCTAATAACCTCAAGTTCAGTGGTTGAAAGCCAGCAGTGTATCTGTGGCAAAAAGCTGTGGCAGTGTGCTTCTGTGAAGACTATAACCTTGGGAATCCTACGGGGGAGGAGTTTGACTCTATCCTACAGAACTGCTAACTCATAGGCAATGGACTGAAAGATTTAACCTACGTTTAGATAGTCAAAGGCAGAAATACCTAAGAATGCTACCATTTTACAGTCTTGTTATTACTGTAGTTAGGTGCCTGTGAGTCCTTTTCGACTCATAGTGACCCTCAAGTGACAGAGTCCAACTGCCCCACGGGGTTTTCTTGGCTGCTATCTTGAACGAGATAGGTCGCCAAGAATATAACCATTTGTACCACCAGGGCTCTTTATAGTTCCATTAGAGAGATCAAACACTTATGTTACCCAAATGATAAAGCCTGAAAATGTCATTTATTTTGAAAAACATATTCAGTTTTAAGATTGATGTAGGACACAGCAAGGAGGCCAAGCAAAATGAACTGTTCCAGGTATTAGCAGGTCTTTTGCATTACCTTCTGAAAATGCAATCCTTGAGCACCACATTTACCAACTACTTCCTATAACCTGTAGGCAACAGACCATATTTCAAAGATTAAATTTCACCTGAAATGATCCCTCCAGAAAAGGAAAATGAAATTCTGTCTATACAGAGAAGTTTATAGACACAGACACAGACACAGACACAGACACAGACACACACACACAGAGTCCTGGTGTGGCACTGTGGGTTAATGTGCCCGACTGCAAAGCCGTCTGAACTGCAAAGTCGGTGGTTCAAGCTCACCAGCTGCTCCTTGGAAACCCTATACAGGGTTGCTATGGGTCGGAACCGACTCGACAGCACTTCACAACACCAACATGTACACACACATTTTTTTTCCTAGCATATGTCAACGGCAATTTGTGACTCACCTACTAAGTTCCTAGGAACTTGAATGACATCTTCAGCAAATTCCAGAAAGCTTCTTGCCTTTTTCACGGCATCCTGGTCCTAATGAAAAGAAGGAAAAGTTTCAAGACAAAGGATGAGTCAGCTGAAATATTCCATTCTAGTCCCAGAAAAAAGGAGTCAGTAAAAGACTTACCTCTCCGTAAATATGAAATGTGCAAGTGTCTTCATCTAGATCAATAGCCGTGACCCCAGGTACTTTTCTGGCTTGCTGAATATTAGCACCATGTGTACCAATAGCTAGGCCCATTAGATCTTCTCGTACAATAAACTGTTCATGAAACCTTGAGGCAAGTTGTCTTGAACTCTGAAGAGAAATGCAGGTCTGATAAATTTATCAAGGATTAAGCCAACTGTATTTAGGTCATCCATGTAAATGATCTTACCCTGTATACCAGAGGCCTGTAAGTTATTTTCAGCTGATAACTAACAGGCTTTAGAAAATCACCTCCCACAGCAAGAGTGTTTTTAGGAGAATGAAGGTCAATGCCATTTAATATATTTTTGTTAACAAGAAGTAGTTTGTTAACAATTTTCCAAGGCAACTTTAAAATACCTATTTGCAAGGCTGCCTTAGTTAACGAATGACATCAACAATGTAATTAAGAAGCAGATCAAATGTTTCCAAATAAAAACCAGCTCACTGTGTCTGACAGACGCAATGCTATTTATTTTAGTAAAAACATTTAAAATATCAACCTTACAGAAAACTTCATTCACTTTGTTTTATATCAAAGGATGAATATATATTTTCGCCCCCTGGAAGCTGCCAGTTTCATAACTTGCCACTAGATACTGTGTTCTAGAAGGACAACCCTATACCCATGCCCCCCAACCTCAAGAAAGGAACTACATATTGTTGGTGCATTAGTGACATTGACTACGGAAGACCAACAATCCTACACATGGGCATTTAAAATATAAAAGACATGAGTCTGTAAAACCTTGTGAGCTGGATCCACAAGTATGAACTCTTTCAAATACTCAATGATGACAAAATTAAGTTATACCAACACCCAAAACTTGTGGATAATCACTCTCTTTACATAGCATTGCCAAAATTTAATGTTTAGTTCTAGCATGCCATTAATGAAAACCAAAACGCATTAGTGGCTCATGTAGAAAAATGGGAGTTTCTTGTCTGAATATGTGAATCTCTTTGATATTAGTAGTGAGGAAAGAAAGACATGCATACTAGTTTCTTATTATTCAACACTCCAGATCATTTTGAATGAATGACTAGAAATAGTATAAACAATTTGAAAAGTAACCACAGTTACTCTTCTAGGTTGTTGTTGTTAAGGGCCACTCAGTCGATTCCGACCCATAGCGACCCTGTATAGGGTTTCCAAGGAGCAGCTGGTGAGCTCGAACCACTGACTTTGCAGTTCAAATGACTTTACACTCTGACGTTAATTCGCTTGGTTCATTCTTTTTATTGATAATTCACTGATACATGGTATGCCAAAGGCATGGTAGTAGATCATTTAAGAAGAATTAGATGTTTATGGAGAAGCATGTATTTTTGCAATACGCATAATGAAAGTAAGGAGGCTGTTGTGGCCTAAAAGTTATGAGAGAATCACTAAAGAAACTACAGAATTGTGAACACAGGGGCATCAAGAAAGAATGAGTGCATAAGGAAAGCAAATAGCTAAAGGAGAGTATGAGTTCCTCCTCTCCTGCTCAAGCACACATCAGGCTGGAAGGCAGAGAAATTTCACAGGGTTTTACAAGCAGAGAGCCTTTATTGCCTTCTCTCTTGCAATGTAGCTTGGAACTCCTCTTTTTGTTTTCTCCCTAAGTCTTTGCCATTGTAACACCGTGTTTTTACCTCAAATGAAATGAATAATGAAAAGGTACTCTGGGCTTTGACAGTAAAATACTTGAGTTGGCACATTAAATTAAATCCATTTTCATTTTTATGGTAATGGATGGGGGTACTAGGTAGTTATCAATGAAAACAAATGTATGGTGATGGAAATTATTGGAGGATTAATAAAAATAGATAAAATGCACCTTAAAAGATGAAATAGTAAGTTAGGGAAATAGCCTCTGGCAGGAATCTGAAGACAGGAGTTTTAAAGAGTGACAACCAACTAGAATGAAGAAGTTCTACACCCTTTTAAACAGAGATAAACATACATCATGAGAGGCACAGGATTAGCACTCTAGCACTTTGATGATAACATGTCACATGGAAGAAGCATTGCTTCATTTTATTAGCAGTTTTGACAAACTTCTAGCAAAACTGAATTGACCAGAAATCTCTTTAAGATACACAAACCATAGCTTAATTTTGAAACCTATGGTACAAAACTTTTTATTAAGATTATGCTTTACATTTTAACTTTCCAAAATATAGCTCATGTTGAGAAACAATCAATGACAGACTGCCCATCCTCGAGTCTTGTATCCATAAGTTATAACTAGATAGCTTTAGCTTTACAAGTAACATTAGGAACACGGGCATACCTCCAGCTGCTTACTGGCTTCTTCATTTCTCAGAATCAGGGACAACTTAGTGCGCAGACTCCGAAAGTGCATGTCAATCAGCATGTGTGCTCGCTTGGAGGTGACTTCGTTGATAGACTAACAGATTTAAATTAACAATGTTATTATCAAAACTAAGGCCCCAAATGAAATCAAACAAAACACCTCCAAAAAAACTCACCAAAATGACAAGCTGATAATTTTCTGGATCATAGGTGACAGAAAAGGCTCCAACTGCCTTTTTAAAGTCCTTATGTGCCGATTCTTTGGCACACCTAGAAATAAAAAGATCGACTGTTAGGCTAAGATAAATTATTGTTGTTTGAACTGCAAGGTTGGTGGTTTAAGCTCACCAGCTGCTCCCTGGAAATCCTATATAGGGTCACTATGGGTCAGAATCGACTCTATGGCACTTCACAACAACAAATGCATTTTTAATTTGATTTATGCAAAATATGCCATTTCCATTTCAAAGTTTAGCTCCTTTGCTGTATTTTGCTGTATATTGTACATCTCTGAAATAGTCATTCAAGTTTAGCATTTGCTGTTATACAAAAGGGGGAGGAACAATACACTGAAATCCTGCTTTTTTATGTTAGAGAATGTGTATGCATACTTATGTGCCTGCTTATCTCATTTATGGTCTCTCCAAATTCTGAATTTTCAGCAAGTTTATGCTCCTATGGCATTATTCAGAAAAAACATTCTCCTCTAAAGACTCCCTACTTTCTTTTACATATGGTAAGTCATTTGTTTTCTTGAGTACACTGTTAAAAACTGTTTGGGATGGCTTGCAGGTTATAGGATTTGGATTCGTTGTTTCTTTTTTATATAAAGAAAAACTGCTGAGAAATTGGAGAGAAGAAAATGTCCATGAATGAAAGGGCACACATTTCCACATATGCAATCTCTAAAATTCAAATGGCAGGCTTTCTTCTGTGTACTGTGAACTGCAAATTCAATGATCATCTAGAGGACATCATGTCCACATTAAACTGAAAAATAGCCTCTTGACAGAGTCATTCAAACAAAAAAGACTCTTTTCCAAAAAATGTTTCCCACATTTCTCTGGACCAAAGATTATCAAATGGATAAATAACTTCTGCAGCTTTAGCTCTAATTAAGTACTGATCTGAAAATATTTGCTAAAAGGAAAAAAATAATCTAGAGGAATTCTCTTGTCTAGAATTTGATTTGTAACTTACGACAGAACCATCACATTTGCATTATTACTTTAAAAACAGAAACATTCAATGAGCAAGTTAGTTGAGTCAAGTAAGTTTACTCAAGTGCATAAATAACTGAGAAGATCTAAAAAGCTTTCATAGTACAAAATTTACTTTTGCAAATCAAACCATTTTGGCTATGTTGTAGTTGTTAAGTGCCATTGAGTCGGTTCCGACCCATAGCGACCCTGTACAGGGTTTCCAAGGGTGTAAATTTTTACGGGAGTAGAAAGCCTCATCTTTCTCCTGCGGAGTGGCTGGTAGTTTCGAACCGCTGATTCGATGAATAAAAAACTCAATTTGTACAATTTTAACATGCGTCATTTTATCATTTTACATTGCCTGCAAGTTCTCAGCACAGTGTGCACACCAACTTACATCTGTCTTAAGTCTTCTGGCACATCCAGCTTGATCTTATGGAATGTATCCTTTGTGGCAGGTTTGTTGGGATTCACAGATCGCAAACGTTCAATTGTGACAATTTCATTGTAAGTAGCATCACATGCTGCATACTCTATCACATAAAACTGGTAGAAATAAATAAAAGTTACCCCTTATCCTTTGAAAATAAGAATATGCTATTCAGTTATTTTAAAATACACATCTTAGAAAAAATTAAGCTATATTTAATCAGCTGAAACACACTGAACATGTAGAGACAACATTCTAATAAATGCCTCACATTAGGTTAGTACTTGAAAATGGAAGTTGAGACTGAACTGTTGCCAATACCTGAGTCTAGAAAAGGGAGATTATAAGAGAAAATGTTAAATGAGCGTTTTCCTACCTCACCCTTTATCATCCGCACTTTAGCTAGCCACCAACAGCAAGGTTCCTTTTCATTTGCTCTGGAATAAACCTATACAAAAAACCACCACAAAGAAAATTTCATGGTTAATATCTTTTTGAAATCTGAAGACTGCCAGACATTAAATACAATTCATTAAAATGCTCCTAGGCAGATGTGACTTCCCTAAAAAAGTAGCTTTGACCCCTTACAACTTAAGACATAGATCCATCCATAACCGGAAACCACTGAGACTGCCTCCAGTTCCCAAAGACATGTTCCTATTTCTCTGCTCTCCTTCATTACTAATTAGTACTCTGAATGTGAATGATCAAGCAAAGCCGACTGCTCATCAACATAGGCAATGGTGCCCTTGGGTACTTGCCGAGTTAAAGTGTATCTGAGATTTACAAACTAATTTTTGTTTTACTCTAATAAGCAAATAACTGATGGCAAGTTACTGACCCTAGCCAATGGTAGCCTGGTTGCTTGGTCACTGAATGGGCAAGACCCACTGCCCACTCAGTCCACTGACAACACCATCCTGGTATTCCTGTCTTCCAGGGACTGAGAAAGTGACCCTTGGTCACTCTGGTGTCTACTCCATCAAAACGGACAGCTCCAGGGCTAGTAACTCTCTGGGTTGACTGTCCTTCCCTATTCTCCTATCCACTGAAGATTAGTTCTAATCAATCTCTCTGCCCAACCACTGCAAAGTTCACATGTGGTGTGCAGTGTGGAACCTTTTGTGAAGACACTAGCAAATCAAGTCTAACAGGAGGAGGCTTCGACAGTTTGTGGAAAATGATATCAATAGATAATGGAATTTTCCCAAAACCTTTTAAAATATGCCCTTGTATAATACCGTGAAGGAGCTCTGGTAGCGTAGTGGTTACGAATCGGGCTGCGAACCATAAGGTCAGCGGTTCGAAACTACCAGCCGCTCCGCGGGAGAAAGATGAGGCTTTCTACTCCCGTAAGGATTTACACCCTCGGAAACCCTGTACAGGGTCGCTATGGGTCGGAACCGACTCGACGGCACTTAACAACAACAACAACATAATACCGTGAGTAGATACAATGGGATTTAACCAACCTTTCCTGCTTACTTGCCAGGGGAATAACTTTAGTTAACTTTAGGCAACAATCTCTCACTGGTTCCCACTTGTCATGTAGTTTAGTTTGAAAAAGCCCCCTTTATCAATCCATCAAGCACCATGATGAGCACTCCTGATAGAGACCTTTAAGATGCATGTCTGGGAGAATGTAGACTATTGGAAAGTGAAAGGGCCTCAAGAATTATTACAACTTGTTCCCTACTAGAACTCCTTAAGGATCTCTGGGTGCTTAGTGGTTACACATCAGGCTACTAACCTCAAGGTCAGCAGTTTGAAACTACCAGCTGTTCCACAGGAGAAAGATGAGGCTTTCTGCTCCCATAAAGATTTGCAACCTCACAAACCCAATACAGGGCCGCTGTGAGTAGGAACCAACTTCACGGCATCCTACCACCACCAGCCACCAGGATTCCTTGCTCCGAGGGATAAGCATTTCACTGCTAACAACAAGGTTGGTGGTTCAAACCCACCAGTCAGTCCATGGGAGAAAGAAGAGGCAGTCTGCTCTTGTAAATATCGGCAGTTTTGGAAACCCTATAGAGGGTCACTATGAGTCAGGATTAACTTGAGGGTGGTGGGTTTGGGTTTTGGTAGGATCCCTTGCAAAACAAATCCTGGCTCCTTATACCTAATAGGTGGTGAGTACATGTCTGGCAAACCAACCAACCAACAAAAAACCACTGTCATCGAGTTGATTCAGATTCCTAGTGACTCTGTATAAAGGTTCCAAAGCTGTAAGTCTTTACAGGAACAGAAAGCCTCATGTATCCCCTGAGCAGCGGCTGGTGGGTTAGACATCATACATTATTTCAAATCATATTAAGATTGTTTAGTTAAAAGCAAGAAGCCCTGGTGGTGCGGTGGTTAAGTACTTGACTGCTAACTGACAAGCTGGCAGTCTGACACCCCTGTGGGAGAAAGCTGTGGCAGTCTGCATCCGTAAAGATTTACAGCCTCAGAAACCCTGTGGGGCAGTTCTACTCTGTCCTGTATAGGGTCACTGTAAGGCAGAATTGACTCAATGATGACAGGGGGTTCAGCATTTGGTGTTGTGGTTATGTGCCCCTGTACAGGGTTTCCGAAGCTATAAATCTTTATGGGAGCAGAAGGCCTCTGCTCCTGCGTAACAGCTGGTAGTTTCGAACTGCTGACCTTGAGATTAGCAGCCCAATTCGTAACCATTACGCTATCAGAGCTCCTTGGGTTTAGCATTTAGGGGTTAGTCAAAAGTGCATATCCATCTCAGCTCTAATTCTCAAGGTAGTTGAAATGGTGTTAAAAGACGACACTGAAAAAAGGCACAAGCAAATTAAACAGCCCCCACTCCTTCAGTGTTTAGTGACTTTAGAACAGCAGAAACTTACCTCAACTTCATCACTTTCATTTATATCTTTGTTATAACCTACAGGTGGTGGGAATCTCACATCATGGAATGGAATCTGCCTCTCAGGCTGCCAACTGCAAAGAAAAAAACATGTGACTATTTCACAGGCTTGTCATGTGTACCTGCAACTATGACCACACTTCCATGAACTCTTGATGAAGTGTGATCCTTTGATTTTCTAGTTTGAAGCAGCATACATTTTAATGGCAACATAGAGACATGTCCACAAGGTCTACATGCAGCACAGCAGCGTGGAGTTCCATTTAGAAGGTTTCTTTCAACACAACAAAGCAACCATACAATTCTCAAAAAAGTGACTTCCTTCCAAAAATTTGAACCTCAGAGTTCTAATTGTAAGGTCACAATAGAAAAGTTCCTTTGATGTTTAAATTAATTATGTTAGTATCAGTCAGTGTTAGTGACATCAACATACATCAACTTGCAAAATAATTTTAATCACATTCCAATGACCACAGAAATGAATCCTAAATGCCCACAAACTCCCAAGCCAAATGGGGCAGTCAGCACATTAGCAATTTACAACTCACTTTTGCCCCTTAACATTTTAGATCCAACGAGGTGGTCAAGTCTTGCCATAGGCTGCTGATCAGTGTGACGTACCAGAATGCACTGGGCTGCTAGGGTCTTATAAAACCACAGAAACCAAGTGGAGACAGTCTATAACAGTTTGGTAAGTTACCTTTGGCTTTTCTTTTTTATTCTTTCATACAACAAAGATGTAAAATATAAAAGACAAGCTGAGGGATTCAAGGGCTGAGTAGTCACTACTGGGTTCTTTAGGGCTTGTTTTGTCAAGAAACACTGACATCAGTCTTATGTATAATGTCAGTGTTCTGCTAAAGGGCTTTCTTAGCAAAATCTTATTGAGGAAACCGCTGTTTTGTTGCTGTTTTTAAAAGAACAATTCTATGGAGTCCTGGAGGCATACCACTATGGGCTGTTACACATTGGGCTGTTAACCAATGGGTCAGCAGTTCAAGTCCACTAGCCACACCTAAGGAGAAAGATGACACTTATCTTAAGTCTTAAATGTGAAATTTTAATTCTTTATTCAAAACTGTGAAATACATAAGGTAAAAACAAATAATCTAAAGCATTGTGGTATTTGAATAACAAGAGTTTCTTAATGATTGAAAGCAAAGAAAAGGTAAATACAGTCTGAAGTTCTATTACTAAGCAGTCTTGTTTTCAACTGAAGAACAAGCAAACAGGAAACACACAGAGACACTCTAGCACTTTGGTAGGTACCTATCACCTCCTGCGGATATTCTGACTAGACCCAGTGCTTTATCTCAAACATTCTCCATGAACACAAGGACCAACAACTGATATTCTAGTCCCAGGATGACAAAAAGCTTGAAGACAAACTTCTATGCAGATATGGTACAGGAAGATAATTAGGAACTTCAAAGATCAAGTAAATTTAAGTTCACAGTAGAAATCTGAAAACAAAGGAACACAGAACTGATCAATCAGCATACAAACAAGATACATTCTTAAATGCAGAGAGGAAATGAGTGTTTGCTAATACTTTAGATGAAGGGCTATAGGAGACACTAAAAGAGTGGCAAATAAAGAGAACGCTCCCTTTATGGGAAACACAGTGTTTGCCTAGTGATGAGAAAAAGCAAGTAAAAGTATAATTACAAGAAAAAAAAAAAAAAAAAACAGATGACTTTCCAGGTTAACAATGACTTCCTCTTTAGAGATATGATTCCTAGATGCTTAACTGTTGTTTAACAATGGGCACTCAAAACAGCAGAGAGGCAGTTCTGGAACATTTGCCTCAATGCATTCAGAGAAATACATACTCTATAGTCTAGCCAATGTATTTCCATTATTCAGATGTGTACTTTGGTCTGAGACTATTTGTTTAGAGCTGGCAATAAATCCTTTTATCTTTTTCTCCCTATAAGTGTCACCACTTTGTCCTGTTAGTGACTAACAGAATCTGCTAGAAATTAAATTGCAAAATTTATTTTCTAGACAATAAAATAAAAGCCTACATTTAAAATTTTCTTAAAAGGAAGAATTTTTTTTTTGTTCAGTACGTCTGGATCACCTATTATTTTTTCTTTAAAAAAAAAAACAGCTTTACTGAGTTATGATTTGCATGTCATACAATTCATCCATTTTAAATATACAATTCAATGGATTTTCAGTATTTTACAGACATGTAAAACCATCAACATTGTCAATTTTAGAACATTCTCATCACTTCATCCTCCTCTCTCCCCCTCCCCCACCCCCCAGGCCTAAGCAACCACTTCTACTTTCTGTCTGTATATATGGTGACCTGCTTTTAATTCTCTTTGTACATAAAACCCCAAATGTAACTGCCAAACACTCATCAGAATTTAGTGAAATTCTAAGATCATGATCACATCTGTGCTTTGCCAAATGAGTTTATATGTACGAGAGGGCTTCAAAAAGCTCATGGGAAAAAATTCTTTCACAAACTTTCTGAAACCTCCTTTGGGATCTCACATGACTACTATGAAAATAGACTTTTGTAGTACAAAGAAATAATTCAATTAAGCAGTTTGTCTCCCTTAAAAAAAAATGCTAACCTCTATCACTGATGCTTTCTATAGCTAATCTTCCTACACCTTTAAGTGTTTTTATTTTCTTATCTAGCAGAAGAAAGCAGAAAAGATTAGCTAGTGCTATTATTGATTTTAAAAAGCTGAAACTGATTTTTTTTTAAAAAAAGGTAAAACACTATACTTCTAAGAAAAAATCTAGACAACTAAAGCAACTGGTTTTAGACTTAATGTTGGCAAAACTTACATAGATTCTTACTGATACCCACAAATTCCTTCATTTTCATTCTTTAAAAACTACAAATGTACCCATCTAAACTCATGATTAATATAGAAGACTTTGGTTTAAGGACACATACACATATACAGGGACTGAGATACAAGGGTCTTTGGGGTCATAAGCAGAACAGTCATTCCAATGGTTGAGTGCTGAGTTGCTCAGAAACTTCATAGTCAGTAATCTGAAGACCCATTCCCAAAAAACACTCAAATCGAACTTTCATTTTATTCAAAAAAATTAAAGAGTAAAAATAATTAGCATAAAAATTGTAAAGAGGCTGACTATCCAAAGACACATAGCAAGACACTTACTTGTTTTCAAATGCCACTGTTATTGAATCTTCATGAACATCTTTGACAAATGCCTGTAAGAAAACACAGTTAAATTAACTTCTAAGCTTAAAGTTCATTTTAATGTGTTCAGTTAAATCTTACAGAGTTGTCATTTTGTGTTTAAAATGGAATTTCAAATAAAAGCCTGTCATTTTGGGGGGTTCATTGTTTCATTAATCACATCTATGTGGCCACCTGGTGTGGCGCTGTGGGTAAATACACTGGACTCTAAAGTCAGCAGTTCAAGATCGCTAGCCACTCCTTGGAAACCCTATATAGGGTTGCTATGGGTCGGAACCAACTAAACCGCACTTAAAAACAACAACAATGTTGTCACCTACTATGTGCTATGACTAAAGACAGAAAGTATAAAAATCAAAGACAAGACATTAAAGGGGAAAAAGTGCTCCAGAGTTCACCATCTAACACCAGATCAGTAACTGAAACACATTATAATACCTGCGCTAACGGCAAAGCTGGAAGTATACTTTAGCTAGAATTATTGAAAATTAAGAAACCTGTTTTGGTGCCATATGTCAGCCAGTACAGATCTGCTGCACCCTATCTTTCTCTTAATAAAATATTAGAATAGTAAATGATTAAATAAAACCTCAAATCTATGTATATGGAAGAACACTGATTTTTTTTTTTTTAACAACCATATGCTGCAAATACCACTAAAAAGCCCAATTACCAGAGTTTAATTAAATTCTCGATCTCACAGGCACATGGAGAAAAAAAATTGTAAAGTACAGAGGTTTCAATCCTTTAAATCTGACGCAACTGCTAGTAATCTTCAGAAAGGCATTAACAAAAAAGTAATAGCTGACTAATTATCAGCAATTCTTTAATCAGCATGTTGTCTATAATTCTATAAAATTAAATTTTTAGTATGTGCAGAAAAGGAGTTTTTAGACAATTAGGCGATTAGGATAAGGAGGTAAGAAACTCAAGGGGCTTTATATTCTGATTGATTTGAAAATGACCTGTGGTTCCTCCCTTCCCACAGGATTAGGGCGAAGCTACTTCCCTTCATGATTCAAGTCCCCCTCCTGCCCAAACTTCATCTCTCACATCCTTAAGAGTTTGAGATCCAGCCATGCAAAACTACCTGTGCCTTTCCTTGTAGCTCCGGGACCTCTCTGTACATACTGTCCCTCTTTCTATTGTCCACTGATTTTTAGTTGTCAGTTCAACTGTCCCCTCCTGTAGGAAGCCTAAAAGACTAGTACAATTCCTCTCTGCATTCTCATAGCATCATATGCTCATGCATGAAGGTGTTGTTGTAAAGTACCATTCGGTCAGTTCTGACTCACAGTGACCCTGTACAGGGTTTCCAAAGAGCAGCTGGTGAGTCTGAACCACCGATCTTGCAGTTCAAACCAACCTTGCAGTCTAGTGCCACAGCGCCACACCAGGACTCTGGGAGGCTGTTAGGTCTGATTTACAGTTATACTTCAGAGTACCTAATAGAAATTCAGACTCCGTGTTGCAAAGAGTTAAGCACTAGACTACGAGTCAAAAGCTTCGTGTATCAAATCTACCCAGAGGTGTCTTGGAAGAACGGCTTGGTAGTCTGCTTCTTAACGGTCACAGCCTTGAAAACCCTATGAGTGCAGTTGTAGTCTGGGGTTGATGGCTCTCAGAATGGACACAATCGAAACGAACAAGTAGAAACTTAATGAGTAGGTCATTGCTTAAGAGGTTCCTACACCAGTCTTGGGAAAGAAGTATGTGTGATGGGGTGGTATGAATGACCAGGAAAAACAGATTGAAGAAGGTGAGGTCTCTACTGAAATGTAAACGCCAAGGAAAAATTAATCAAAGAGGCAGCAATTCCAGCCCAAAGGAACTGCATGAACAAAGGCAAGAGGACACTGGGAAACAGCTTGGACCCCATGGCCATAGTGGCAACCTTACAGGACAGAGTAGAACAGCCCCATAGGGGCTCTAAGGGCTAACCAGAAAGTGAATACAACCCAAATGTTCATGGACAGATGAGTGGATAAACAAAATGCAATTTATACATACAATGGAAATTTGTTGTTGTTAAGTGTCATGGAGTATGTTCTGACTCATATAGAAACCCTATATAGGGTTTCTAAGGAGCGGCTGGTGAGTTTGAACCACCAGCCTTGTGGTCCAGTGCCTATCCTACAGGGTCACATTACTCAGCCATAAAAAGAAGTACCAGCCACTCCACAAGAGTAAAGATTCCATGTAGGGTCCTGGGAGTTGGAACGGACTCAATGACAGGGGGTTGGTTGGTTGGATGGTTTTCTAAGAAAAAACAATGATAGCTGAGACCCAGTCCTAAAAAAATTTATATGAAAGCTACTTAAACTAAGACCCCCAAATCCTATAATTAAGCTCACTCATTGCTGTTCATGTGATTGCAACTCATTGCAACCCTCTAGGACAGAATAGAACTGCCCCACAGTGTTTCCAAGGCTGTCATCTTTATGGAAGTCTCCCATGAAGCAACTAGTGGGCTCGAACCACTCAGTTTCGTTAGTAACCAAGCACTTTAGATAATTATGCTGAAATGAACAAAAATAACGCTATACTAAAAGAAGTTTCCCTGTGAGATCTAGGTGGACTATAATGACATCCAGGTGTTAAGGTACACTCAAGATGGCTCATGCTATATCAAGCTGAGTTAAATTATTACTTTGAAGTTAAGCATGTGTATATACTTGTATCTTTAGTTGCTGGTTTAAAGGGGGGGGAATCTACATTTTTTTTCCTATCCTTTTAATCTTGTTGTTGTTAAGTGCCGTCGAGTCGGTTCCGACCCATAGCGACCCTGTACAGGGTTTCCGAGGGTGTAAATCCTTACGGGAGTAGAAAGCCTCATCTTTCTCCCGTGGAGCGGCTGGTAGTTTCGAACCGCTGACCTTAAGGTTCGCAGCCCGATTCGTAACCACTACGCTACCAGAGCTCCTTTTAATCTTGTAGTGCTTACGAATCGGGCTGCTAACCTCAGGGTCAGCAGTTCGAAACTACCAGCTATTCTGTGGGAGAAAGATGAGGCTTTCTGCTCCTGTAAAGATTTACAGCCTTGGAAACCCTATACAGGGTCACTATGAGTCGGAACCGACTCCACATCACATAAAAACAATAACATACTTAAATGGGACAGAGGTGACTTTAAACACAATCACTGGACTGTGAACCACAAGGTCCGTGGTTCAAGCCTTCCAGCCACTCTGCAGGAGAAAGATGAGGCTTTCTGCTCCCTGGAACATTAAAAAGCCTCGGAAATCCTATGTTGTTGTTAAGCGCCATCAAGTCAGTTCTGACTCATTGCAAGCCTGTATAGGGTTTCTGAGGAGCAGCTGGTGGGTTTGAACAGTCAGCCTTGTGGTTCTCAGCCCTGTGATGAGCCTACAATGCCATATGTGAGTTAGAATTGACTCGACAATACTTAACTGAGGAACATTTTCTACAGCATATGTTGAGGAACCAAACTCAATGGCACTTAGCAACAACAAATGATACTTTAGAAAACAGAAATCTTAAGGACATATCGTCACTCTTAGACTCTTACTTTTATAAACTATGACCCAAATATTGAGGGGAAAATGGGCATACACCTTCTCTTCAGTATTTTTTCCTTGTCTTTGTCTTTACATGACGGTTAATAGATACTCTGCTTTTGGAGGGTAGGATCAGATTAGCAATTAAAATTAAGACTATTATTGGGAGGTGATCTCTATTAACCAAGAAGGGTCATTACTCCCATGGTCAAATTTGTCTAAAGTTTTCTAATGCTTGCACAGTTTGGAAGTTGTTATCATTAGTCCCTTACTATATGTTACATCTACTCATTTATCAAGTATCTCACTATCTGACATTTCACGTTTACATAGTTTAAAAACCTATTTTGTATATTGATGATGCACATCAGAGAGCAATCAATGAACACTGAAGTCCTTGATGGTGTTGCTGACCTGTGTACCTCATGTGCATGTATATAGAAAGGAAGCTACTATTTCACCCCCTGGGAACGAGTGCGGGGTGGGGGTGGGGGGGAAGGGTGTCACCCTGAGCTGCTTGGGTGTTAGGTAGAGTGGATGGGGTGTGCCCAGTGGGTCCTAGGTGCTCACAGGAGGCTCATCAGGCTGGGGCAGTAGCAGTCAGTATTCTACAAGTGGGCCACCCTCAGGGCTGGGAAGGAAGCTGTGTGTCCCACGGGGCAATGGAGCCTAGAGCCATGGGATTCCACATCAGCTGACCAGTACTTGTGCAGCCTTATGTTTCCTTAATCCACCATCAAGGGTGGGCACAGGTGAGCATGGAACAGGCTACCTGGGTGGGGCTGGGGTTAGTGGGTGAGTGACCAGTGATAGTTCCAGTACAAGGTCCAGGGCAGGCTGGGTCTGCCCATCACAACCTCAGTGGAAGCTCTAGATGATCTAGTCTCATGGGGATATGGGACACAGGTGGGCAAGGCCACCCACTGAGAGCTGGAATACTCAGGCAAGGGGGCTCCAGGCAGCAGTGTTCAACCCTCTATGGCACCAAGGCCCTCCCGCCCAGGGATAGGGAGCCACCTAATCCCAAGAAAGCCACCAAAGGCATGGGGGGTCATTGAAAGGATGAACTGGGGCCACCCAGTCTAAAAAGAGTGTAGGCAGGAGGGGAAGCAGGGATGGGGAGGTGGAAGTGGCAATGGGAGCTGAGCTCGGATGAGGGGATATGGGGGAGAGAGAGGTGGTAGTAGTAGCAGGTGACCTCATCAGGGGCCTGGTGTGATGTTCACGGTACAGATGTGGTCATTGTGCATGTTCCCATAACAACCTGGTCTTTGGAACCTAACCATGTCACTAAGTTTATATAAAAAATGTTAAAGTCTCCTAGTCCACAAAACAGCACCTTGTTACAGTTGGGGAAGAACTGTCTTTGCTAAATTGGGCATCTTTCTAATATGGCTGCCATTGTTTAAATGGGGCTGTCCACCATGGTAGTCATGGTTCTTACATGGCTATTTCCATTTCAATGAACTAAAAGTAAAGCAAATACAAAATCA